GGGCTGCTGGCCCTGATGCTGCAGCCCACTCTTGCCGCATAGACCTCACAAGGGTCCCTCTCCCTGCCTTGAGCCCTTTTCCCAGTATTACTGAATAGTTCCAGCCAGAGCCCAGCCCTGGGAATGGGAGCCAGGCTGCATTCACTGCGTTGTGCCCTGGGGCCTGGCAGGGGGCTGGTCACCTCATAGTGCTCCAGAAGCAAACACGGCCCCGGACTTGACACCCTGGAAGGAGGTGGACTCGGACTTGAGCGCGTCTATGCAGTTGTTGATGATCTGGTTGACCTTGTCCACCTCCTTGGCGATGGTGGAGATTTCGGCCACCGAGCTCTGGCTGTCGGGGCCGGGACGGCCCAGCTCGCAGTCCCTGCGTTCTGGCTGCTCCCCGGTGCGCACCTCGATGTAGTTGCCCTTGCTGGCCTTGGGCGTCTCGCTGCTCTCTACCAGCTTGTACTGCTCCACCTCGCTGGCGGCTGCGGGCAGGTAGGGGATGCGGGTCACGGCCTCGGGGCCCAGCAGCGGACCCTGGGACAGCGGGGCCAGGCCGGGCGCCTCCATTTCGGGCCCGTACTTGAGCTCGATGATGGTCTTTTTCAGGCTGCCGGCTGCAGCCGCCGAGACCGCCTTCTTGTGCTTCTCCTCCTGGCGCCTCCGCTTGCGCAGGCAGTAGTAAACGGCACCGAGCACCAGCACCATGCCGAAGAGGCAGCCCAGGATGGTCATGATGTAGTGGGTGGCCGTGGAGGGGCTTGGCACGGGGCCGGGTGGGCTGGGTGGCTTGGGCAGGCAGATGGTGAGGCATGTGTGGTTATGGTGCAGCCCCGAGCTGGTGGACACCACGCAGTAGGTGTAGTTGGTGAGTGTGTACAGGTTGGCCAGGTGGATATCCTCCTGCGGCTTGGTCAGCCTGGAGACGGTGGAAGACTTGCTGTTGTTGAAATGCTCCAATGTGTACATGCGGTTGAAAGGCCTGGGCAGCTGGACCGTGATGGTGGCCGAGTTCTGTGTCAGCTGCTTGACCTTCATGAAGGGACGGGCCTCAGCCTGGGTGGCCAGCGTGGGCAGGGCCACCAGTGGTGTGGTGCCATCACCAGAGAAGCACTCGTCGTCGGCACAGGGCACGTCACTGGGTTCTGGCGGCGGTGCTGACGGTGGCAAGCGACCCGGCTGCAAATGTCCGGGTGCCAGGCGGGGCCCGACCACCTCGGCTGTGTAGGAGTCCTCAGTGCAGACAGACAGCAATTTGCTGAGGATGCTGCGGTGGCCATGGCGACCCTGGCCTAGGAGGAAGTAGCCAGAGTACGTGGGTGGTGACTCACACTGCATGCGGTCGTAGGTCTGTGTGGCGTTGGTGAAGGCTGCCAGCCAGCGCAGGAAGCCCAGCAGCTCGCAGGAGCAGTAGAAGGGGTTGCTGTACAGCTCGCACACGGAGAGCTTGGAGAGGCCGGCGAACGTGCCGCTGTTGAGCTGCTGGATGCGGTTCATGGAAAGGTCGATGTTGACGATGTTGGGGCACTCCCAGAAGGTGCTGGCCATGACCACCTCGATGAGGTTGGCCTGCAGGTACAGGTACTCCAGCTTGCTCAGGCCACGCAGCATGCCCTCTGTGAGGTTGCGCAGCCTGTTGTAGCCGAGCTGCAGCACCTGCAGGTTGAACTGGCCTGAGAAGGCACCGTCCTCGATGTAGCCAATTTCGTTCTTGGTGAGGTTGAGGTACGTGAGGTTGCCGAAGCGGCTCAGCGAGGCATACTGCACGCTGCGGATGCGATTCTCGTTCAGCCGCAGGTCCACGATGGTGTTGTTGATCTGCTGCGGGATGGCCTCATAGGGTGGCTGGTTCTGGCTGCAGATGGCCAGCCATACGAAGCCCTTGTCACCCTCGATCAGCCAGCAGTCGCCACGGGCTAACCCGCCCACGTGCAGCAGGGCAGCAGCTGCCACGCACACCCACAGTGCACCCCACCCATGCCCGGCCATCGGGACCACCCTTGCGGGAGACCCCGCTCAGCCTGCCTGGGGGGACTGGGTGGGGGGCTGGGTGGCGGCCCCCAAAGGGACAGAGGGGCAGGAGGGGGAGGTGCCTGCACTCTCAGGGGCGTCCTGTCCCACACTGCATGGCTGTGCAACACGAGTGCCTCCCTCACGGCCAGCTGCCTCTTGTCTCCCTCCCAAGTCCTGCAGCGGCCGAGACCTCCTTCCCCATGGGCCTGGTATACTGACAGCTCCAGCGGATCTTCCTGTTCTGACGTTCCTGCTGCAAGACAAAAGAGAGGAGAGTGGGTCATGGGATGGCCGGCCATTTCTGCTGGTGCAGTGGTTGAATGTGGCCTGGGTCCCAGCTCAGCTGAGGCCCCTCTGAGCCTCTTCTCTAAAACAGGGTGGTGTGAGGCCCTGAGATAAGATAGGGTAGTAAAGGAAATGCTTAGTCTTCCCATGGTGGGGTGTTGGGAAAATAGAATAATTTAATCAGGCCCCCTCACCTGCCCGTCTGGCTGGGGGTGGTGTGGTGCATTCTTTGTAAATTGTGTGTGTGTGGGGGTGGAATTAGTGCACATGGGTGGCGCCGCACCTTGGCTGGCGTCTACCTCGGGCGTCCACAGTGCGTGCAGCCATGCTTCCTAACCTACAGCTCTGAGGACCTTTTTGCCAGTTACCTAGCTCATAGACCTGTTTGTGAGGGGTCTGGGGACCCAGCCTGGCTTGTGAAGGGTTTATGACCCAGTCTGTGAATGGGCTTGAGGGGTCTGTGAGCTCCAGACCCAGCCCTAACTCGACATGGGGCCTCTTCAAGTCCCTGGCCTCAGTTTCCTCATCTGCAAGGTGGACGCGACACTACTTGCTTGACAGGGCTCAAAGGTATTGTAACCACACAGAAGCAAGACCTGTATAGCCCATTCCAGGCTCAGCACAATCCTGGTCAGTTGAGGAAACTAAGGCCTAGAGATGGAGTAATGGGCTGCTCCTGCCAGGGACTTGTGTAAAAGGCCTCATTCGGCACTGTGCCCTGCTGCCTGGAGAGTTAGGATGTCATTTCTGCTCCCAGGAGGGCCCAGCCATGGTGCCCTCAGAGCTGCCTGCAGGGAGTACCCTTAGCTCCAGCTGAAGTGTCCTCAGCCCCGGCAGAGAATCCCTCTGAGCTCAGGTCCTCTCCAGCTCTCTCAGAGGGAGGCACAGGGAGGCAGCCTGTCCCACCCAGGGCCTCAGGACTGCTAGGTTATGGTCTGAGCTCTCCTGCCGTGTAGTCTGGGCACATCATGCCCCCTCTGGGCCTCAATTTCCCCAAATGAGCCAGCAGGATGGTCTTTGGGGCATCCACCTGGCACCTGAGACTTGGAGCTGTCACAACCCTGCGTTGGTGGAGCCCAGCAGCAAGACCTGGAAGGAAGGTAGCAGCTCGCTCTGCCAGGGGTCCCCGCATTCTGCACATCCTTCCCAGGCTGGGATAAGGACACTTCCGCAGCCCCTGGGGCTCCCTGATACCTCTCCCTCCATCCTCTGGTGTGTGAGAGCATCTTCTTCTCTGTCCCTCAGTCCCACCAGACCTGAGTTTCTCCAGGGCAGGGCTGGGCCCCCTCCCTCTGTCCCCGGATGACTGCTGGGCAAGTATGCCGAGGATATGACCATAGGGAGCCCCCCAGGCAGAGGGGCTGCACAGACAAGGCTGGGGGTACGCCTGGGGAGATGTGGCTGGACCCACCCGGCAGAGATGGAGCCTGCTGAGATCCTGCTCCCCCACGGGGGGCCTCCCCCCCCCAGCCTCCTGCCCCCTCGTGTTTGTCCCACAGGACGAAGAAATGGGTGTGTGTTTGCTTGTTAATATTTGGATTTACAGCCGGCCTCTGTAACCGCTCTGTGGCCTGGCAGGCAGCCAGCTGAGTGTATTTCACTGATATTGACGTTTGCAACTAGTCTGCACTGAGGCGGTTTAAATTAGGAGAAAAAAAATATAATGATGTGAAATGGATTTTGTTCCCTCTTTGGAAACTTCATAAAGCACAATTTTGATCTGGCTCCTGGGAAAAAGTCTATTTCTGATTTAGAGAGAGGGGAGAGACCAGATGGGGTGGGGGCTGCAGAAGGGTCCTGTGGGGTCCCTGGGAGCTGACCAGCACCTGGCCCAGAGTCACCGCGTGACGCCCAGAAATGCCTGGTCCTGCCTGGGCCCAGTCAGAAATGGCTGCAAGGGCAGGCTGGGGCGTGCTTGGGTCTTGCTCCCCAGAAGAGGGAGCCTTTGAGGGGAAGCTGAAGACAATGGGGTCCTGGCATGGTCTGCTTGTGATGTAAAATCCGTAGTCACAGGGGGAGCTCAGCAACGTCTGGGAAGCTCTCTGAGCTCATCCCTGGCACCACTGCATGGTGGTGACCACCTGCCGGACTACGCCCCAGCGGGGACCTCCCTCTCTGCCCACCATGCATGATCCATCCACCCTGCCCAGATAACCTATGCCGAGGCTGTGATTTATGTCACCAGGGACTCTTGGGTACCCACGTCTCAGGCAGAGGTCAGTGGTGGTCAGGGAGGTGCTGAGAAAGCCTGGGGCCGACCCAAGCCTGCTCCTGCCCCCCAGCCTCTAGAAGAAGGTGCCTGGAGCAGCAGGCCGGCGTAGGAAGTGTGGCGCCTCAGCCGTGAGATTGTAATCACCTTTAATCTCTTGCTCAAAATAACCCAAAGTCAAGTTAAGGAGGATTATAGGGCCTAAAGAACCCTTATCACAGGCACCGCTGGAAGGGAGGAGGGGCAGGGCCTCAGGGCTACCTGGTCTGTCCCTGCTCACACTCCCTGGGCCCCATCAGCTTCTGGGCTGTCCCAGGGGCTCTGAGGGCTGGAGGGCTGCATGCACAGGGGGTTGTGTGTACGTGTGTTTGCGTGCATGTATGTTTGTACATGTGTTTTCTTACATGTGGGTCTGTACATACATGTCCACCTACACACATTTGTATACTCAAGTGCCAAGCTCTGCCTGTGTGCATTTGAACAGGTCTGTGTGCATGTCACGTGGGTGGCACCCACGCATCTGGGACTGGGTGTGGGCAGGTGTGGGTGGTGCACACACAGCTCTGAATCCCCTGGGATTCACTCTACATGTTCCACCCACATTCCCGGTATAGAGTGCATGTGGGGAACATGCTCTGTCTAAGTGTGCATCCCCCCACATGACAGTCCAGGAATTTGTGCTACAGGCTCAGCACCTGTGAGCAGTGCTGGAGCATGGTCTTGCCTCCCCCACACACTCTGGAACCTCCTCCATCCGGCTGGGCCAGCCTGCGTGTCGACTTGGCCTCAATGCCAGATCTCCCAGGTGGGGCGTCTACGAGGCCCATGGGGGTGAATCTTGTGGCTGCCCCTTCCCAGTATGGCCAGCAACTCTGCTGGTCAGCAACCCGCCCCCACAACCTCAGCCTTGTAGGGACCCCAAAATTCTCGTTCCACATCTCAGTTTATGATGGGGGAACTGAAGCCTAGAGGACTTGTCCCAGGTCACACAGTGGGTCAGTCCTGGGTCTCCTGTGGTCAGGGGGCTGGGGTGGGGGACAGCCCAAACAGTTGCCTTGAAGGCCTGAAGCCCCCCCAGAGCCTTGGGTACTGAATCAGGTGGGGGACGGGATGCCTCCACATGGGTCTAGGAGCCCATGAGGGCAGAGGCCATGGGCCTTACACAGGAAACAGCTGCCAATGGGGCTGGCGGATCCTCTAGGAAGGTTCTGAACAGACCATATGCACGGCCCCTACAATCCTTCCCTGGGGGGCTCCCCACTTACTTGTTCATTCATTTACTCAGCTCGTTCATTCATTCATCCATTCACTCACCCACTCACTGAATCCTCACCCCACCCACACGTTCCCGCACTGATTCACATCGTTACATTGGGCCCTTCACCCAGTGCTCAGTATCACTCATTAAACGATGGTTTCCAGAACAGGGTGCTGGGCTGGGCTGATGTGCAGGGTGGATCCAGCATGGGGCGCTGCCCTCCTGCACCAGACCAGGCCCCAGCCCCACTCCCCTCCTCAGCCCACCTGCCACCCAGACTCGGGGCCTCGTCCAGTGGAGGTGGCAGGACCTGGGGAGGCATGGAGTCCTCTAGGGAGGTCTACTTCCCACGGTCTGAATCGAGCCCACCTTCCCCTCAACCCACCTGCACCTGCTCCCTGGGGCCCAGGCCTCACGTTTCAGAGAGACACAGAGGCTGCGGCCATCACCAAATGTGCCCTGCCGGGGACCCCCCTGACATCTCCTCCCTGTCTCCTGCATCACTTGATCTCCCTCATCTCTATGACGTCATCCCTCCCGCATCTCTGTGACGTCATCCCTGCCACATATACACGTTCCGCAGGAGGGCGTCCCCCACGGAATGGTGCAACGGTGCAAATATCCCATATCTGTGCTGTTCAACAGGGCAGCCACTGCTCACATGAGGCTACTGAGAGAAATGTGGCTGGTGACTGCTGCATAGTTCTAGAAACTTCCATAAAAAACTAATTTTTTTTTTAAAGTGCCCTCCAGCCTCTGCCCCATCTCTCCCTTCCCTTCATGGCAAATAGTCCTGAAAGGGGCCACCGGTGGTTTCTATCCCACCTCTTCACCTCTTCTTCTCTCAGCCCCTCCCATCCAGCTCCACTCTTGCACCCCCTGAGCCAGCTCCCATCAAGGTCACTGGTGACCTCTGTCCAGCCAGCTCCAAAGGGCGTGCTCCCATTTTTATCTCACTCAGCCTCTCAGCAGCGTTTGGCCCAGGTAACTGCCTGCTCCTTCCTGAGCACTTTATGCTCCGGGGTTCTGAGCCACCGCGCTCTCAACGCCGTGTCTTCTCTCTCACCCCTAACACCCGGTCTAACAGCAGCAGTGTCCACTCCTCCTCCAAATGCATCCGCAATCAGCACTTCACTCCCACTGCAGCCACCCCGGCCCAAGCCACCACCACCTCTAGCTGGGATGATGCCAGTGGCTCTCTCCTGGTCTCCTGTACCCCACAATCCATCCT